AACAGATACGAACCAGATAGAACAGACACGAACCCAGACGCGCGAACCAAACGCGAACTCGAACACAAACCAAACACGAACAAGACACATAACAGATACGAACCCGACACGAACTCTACACCAACAGACACGCACCAGGCAAAAACACAAACCCAGACACCCACCAAACAACACGAGACACGAACCGGACCCGAACTAGATACGAGCCACAACCCGGACGAACCATTCAACAAATACAGCACGGGAGCCTCCACCCAAATTGAATAGAATTTCGTTACTAAAGCTATCAAAATTTAGAAATATTTAACCGTGAGATTTCCTAAAGCTACCAACGATTTTATTACCATGCACGAAGAATCCACGAAGAAATAGTGAAAAGGACCAAGTTATAAGGGGGCCAGGATACGTATAGAATCGCAGACGCAAGTAATACGATATCATTTTATTCAATAATATCCTATATAGTTTATATCAAGAAAATATCTCGCATGAAAATTTAAACCTATGTTCAAAAAAACTCATACAAATAACTCATAATATTCTTCATCTCAGTTATACCGATGTTCAGCAAATAAAATAGTTCTGTCGTTCCAAATATCTATCAAAAAATGCCGCCTCCCCCTTTAGTAAAGTAAAGGGGCCCATGACCTGTCCGGATCTCTCCCTGTGGTGTAGATTTAAAGTAGGTAGAAGATATATTTGCCTCTTCTCTATATCTAAAGAATGATACATGCTGATTTTATTTCTTATCATTGTTTAGATGTGGAATTGTCTATATTGGTTCTCTTTCGTTTGTTCGGAAGTCCATTGTTGCATCAAGGATGATGCAAAGGGACCTGGCACTGGTACACTTGCCACAAGCGACGACAGATTTGTGCAAGTCCTGGCCTCCAGCGCTCCTCCGATTGCCAAGTCGCTGGCTAAATGGCCGAAGTAATCCTGGAACGAGCACCGTCAAAAGCAAAACCACATTTACGGGCGCACGCGAAGCCTCAGAGTTACCATATGCAGGTCAGTAAATCTCTGTTGTTGGGTCTTGGATGCTCACAGGGACGCGAAGCTGGCTCAGCAGATCTTGTCCTTCGTACTTGCCAAAACCCGGAAGCTCTCGTGCCCCTTGGCCGGACACTGTAGCTGTTGCCATTCAGTTCGAGGCCACTACTAGTACCACACATGCAGCAGCATGGCCGCTCTCTGACGCCCTGGCCATAAACAGCTTGCAAACATTGCGGTGACCGGCCTGCCCAATGACCATACAGCCTCTACGAGTACCATGAAACACGCAAGCCATCAATCGCCGTTCCGCCAGTGGCCTCTGCAGCTGCATGCAAAGCATTCCTGCCAACGCAGTCCTGCCGAAACGCAGACTTTCTCTGGGACACGTGTCGGAACCGGTCCTGCGCTGTAGAGACTGTGAACCGTGAATGAGATAGCAAAGCATGGCAGACCTGCCATGGTCGAATTTGGACACCAGCGCCAGTCTTGACAGCATGCTCTCGCAAAGCAATTTCCATTCTAGGGCCGACCTCTTCGAAGCCATGAGCCGCAGCCAAGTGTAAGGCTGTCCAGCCTGTCCAGCACTCACTAGCCATCTGCGAAGAGTTTGCAGCATGCTCTTGGCCATTGAAGGCTTGCGCTGCTTCCGGAAACCATCTGAAAATAAAAAAAAGTCGGCCAGCGAAGAGCGCAATCTCACGGGGACATCCTGCCCTGAATCACAGCGATACTGTAGCTCTAGAGGCACTTTGCAAAGATTGACCACAAAGAGTGGAGTGTGGCCCCATGTGGCACAACCCGAGTAAAGACGCTGAGTGCAGCCTCGAGCAGTTCTCGCCGCGACCTGCGACAATAGGATCGCAAGTAAGCTATAGAGAGTCAGGTTGCCCGATTTTTTTTTGAGAGACATACAGAAAGCAGGGTTATGCACGAATTGCCTAAGCTGATCCAGAAGTGGAAGTAACAGCTCGTTCGTATTAGGCCCGGTCCTTTCACAGCACAGCACCCCGCAGAATCTTGCAGAACTCGGCATCATTCCGTGATTAGGCCCAGGCTGCCAGCCTCAGTAAAGCTGGGGTTGGCCAGCAGGAGCTTGCAGGCGGTGGCATATCCCCCGGAGGCCTCAGCGAAAGCCCCGCAGATGTGGAGTTTTTAGTAGTGCTGTCTTGGTAGTTCTTAGACAGGGATACACTGGCGGCCTCTCTGAAACAATCATGTAGCAAAGCCAATACTCAAACTGGCATCAAATGGATCGAGCCCAGGCCACACAGTACTCGCTACAGTCACCTGTGGTCTTGGTTCCACCCGATTCCAATTCATGGCAAGTCCGGTCGCGCTAACCTCAAGCTTGACTCGTCCTCCAATCATGTAATCCTTCCAACCTGCCTCTTGCTGAGCAGTGCACGGCCCAATGAAGGGCAGTCCACCCATCCTTCGGACTTCGCGCAGAACCGTCTCATGTTCGGAGACAGTTGGGACGAAAGTCTTGTCGACAGCTATCAAAGGCAGCGATTTCTGATGCTGAACATCGACTGCACGCTCAAACACCCTGAGGTCAAGAGGCCTGCATGGCGCGGCGGCATGCAACGGGGCACTTCCAAACATCAAACCAGCTGCAGTATAGAAGCAGCTCGACGAAGCAGTCGACACCCACATGTTACGGCTCACATCTCGGCCTTGTCTCTGGCACCTTCCGCAATGAAGCGTGGATGCTCGAGCAAGGCCTGCCGCTGCGGCGGCTGACAAAGCAAAACTCCACTGCCAGCAGTTTGAGTGCAACTTGTCACCAGGATTTCAGAACAATCATCCATGCCACAGCGGAAGCCTATGTGTGGTTGCACACTCAGCCGCTTGCTTGCAGCTTCTGTTCTGTTTGTTTGCTTGCTACAGAGGCGACCCTGTGCGCTCAATCGTGTGTTCCTTCTTTTGTGCTCGTGCTTGCTTACTTGCTGGATTGCTTAAGGGGGGTACAGTATGAGGGCGAACCCGCCGTCGTGCTTTCTGTCTTTTCCTTCTGTGGGCCTGCGGAACCCCTTCGCGCATGCGAAACCTCTTGCTGTCGGCGCGACGCGACGGTAACTCGCAAAAGAACTGCCGTCTCTCTCTTGTGCAGGTGTCCTCTCGCTCGACTGTAGATCGTCTACCAAGGACCTTATTCAAAATCGAAAGGGTGTCAAGCGTAGGGACTCGGACCAAGGCTCAGAGACCTAGGAGGCAACGATCATCGGCCCTTTGGCTCGAAAATTTGGGGCCGAGCGAATTCGGAACTCGAATATTGTGGACCGAGCGGAGCAAACGGAGCGGAGCGAAGTGAGCGGAGTGAGCAGAGTGAGTGGAGCGAGCGAGTGAGGGTATCCACAATCTGGAGTTCCGATTGCGAGCAAAATTGTCGGGCCAGAGGGCTAATGTCGGTGTGAAACGCACTTTATTGAGCTTGCAATGTGAGGGTTGTGGAAACGTTGACAATCACCTTTTCAAGTCGACAGTGCTACTGCTACGGGCTTGACTGAGCAATTCTCCGAACACCGACCCTGAAGGTCTACTCCGAAAGTTCGATGCGCGCTTCGAACTGCTGAGCTGCCTGGCAAGCCGCGGGGTGCCCCTGCATGGCCGCATGGTGCAAGCCTGACGTGGTCTTGCAAAGACACGGCGCACACTAAAGGCAACGATTGGCCCGAGCCTCTAACCCGCCGACTCGAAGAGGCAAACCGTGTACACGGACAGTCAAGACATCGAAGAACTGACAAAGCGGAGGGGCGCCTGTATGCCCGTAGTCGTCAGCTGCCTTGGTATAAACATGAGAGTCTCTGTGCACACGTGTGTGGTCGTGCCAGTTCGTGCTTCTCTGCTCTTTTCCATCCTGCCTTTCAGCTCGTACACAGTCGCTACGCCTACTGCCTGTCGGGCTTGCAAGCACGCCTGCGTCTGACCTATGCCGACAGGGCTGTGTTTTGAACCTACATCGGGCGGAAGGGCTTGTTGGATCTCATCGCCTCCTCCCAGAAGGAGTATGCTGATGCTTCCTGGCAAGTACAACGTAGACACCCTCTCTTCTGCTCACAATGTCTCTTGCCTGCGTAGCACGCTTGTTCTGGGCAGTGCTATCCGACTGCTTTCGCATGACCTGGGTTGCTAGGATTGCGCGGCAACAAGGGCGGTAGGAGGGCTGTCACTGCGATTGCCAGGTGCGAAGAAGCAGCTGCGGTAGTCTGTGAAAGGAAGCAAAGTGCTCGCAGTGGTGCCTTGGCCGTCCAGTTTCACTATCAACTTCCCTGTTTCTTTGTTTAGTTGCCTTGGCCAGCAGTACACGACTTCGTGGCATGCTGACTCTCCCAGGATTGTGGAAAAGCTCGACACTCTCTCCAACAGGCGCATCTCAGAAGTTCATCCCGGACCCTTGCGCTAGCCCGTCTGACTCGACGAGGGGCTGCTAGGGCAAATGGGCATCAACGGAGGGCATGAGGCCGAGGTGTCCTTGGCTTCTTGGGAGAAAGACGAGCTGCGGGACTTCAAGACATCTCCGTTCGGGGCCTGGGAATTCAGGAAATGTTGACACCATGCCGGATCCAAGTGGCCAGGCTGCACACACCGATCTCGGACCAGCTGCAAAGAGCACGGTGACCATCAATTGTGGCATAATACTGCCACGTTTTGCATTGAGCTTCAGGCAGTTCTTCGCATGCCGAGACATGGGAGCCGACATCAGTTTTGCCACAAAGCGTGTAGCAAAATGGAGGCACCATAGGAGAAGAAGTCGTTGTGTCTGGACACAGCTGCTTCTTAGGACATCGTGCGGACAGGTCAACGTCGCAATTGCCTGCTGCCTCCCATTGGCACAGAACCTTCCCTCCGGCAGTGTCCATGTAATACATGCGAGACTTGCAGTCGTCTTCCTGAAGTGTGCTGCAGTTGCCTGTTAACACCCTGTGCTTGAAGCACAAGGTCTTACAGAATCGATCAATAGCATCGACTCCCAGCCTTCCTCGGTTGTGGCCAGCACAATCTGCGTTTGACTCGCAGGTAAAAGATGGTCCAGACTGGCAAGTATCCTCGACCAGCTCGCACAAGGATGTCTGCCCTTGGGAAGTCGAGTAAAATTCCTCACTGGCGCACAGCTCAGGCTCTATGCTTCCGCAGTCGTTCACCTCCTGCTTGGAGCACAAGGAGGAGCACCGAACGTCCGATTGCAGGCTTGTGTGGGACAGTTGCGAGGATGTGGTCGTAGTGACCTCTGTGTAGGGTGCCCTGAAAACAATCCTGTCCGGACCATGAGGGTTGATCTCGACGGTCTCAACTCTTCCGCTGTGAGGTGGCAGGGGTGGCAGAGGCGGCAGGCTAGCAGGCTCCTCGGTTCCAATGCCAGCATGCTGCAGATCCTGGAGGATGCGTGCAGAGGAAACACCTGCCAGAAGCGCAACCTCCACAGCCTCTCTGAGGGACATCTCTGCAGGACTCTTGATCGGGATGGGCACATGAAGCAGCGTCGCATTGACGACTTCATAAATATCCAAGACATTCAGGCCCACTGCAAGACACTCCTGTGCAGCCGCCACGACTGACTGCATGACTGCATGTGGCAGCAGCTGATCCTTCCTTGGGAATGCTTTCGTTTGGTCAGCGCTCTCACCAGACAGATCCTGCCTTTCGAATGTCTTGGCATTCTCACCACTATCATCAAGCCGATCCTGCCTAGTGTGCGTCGTCCCAGGCTCACCACTCTCGCCAGATAGTATTTCGGAAGTGTTTGTTCTCGGCTTTTCGGCTGGAAGCGTGCTTGAAGCTCCAGAATCCGGACTTCTCGACAGGTTCGTTGAGGGTGGAACAGTTCCGTTCACAACAGCTGCGGACTCTGGTGACCCTTCGCTTACCGAGTCGTCGCTCACTTGGCAGATGGGCATACTTGCGTTACAAACGAAGGACATGTCCACAGTGCAGCTTTCACCAACGAAGACGCAGTGTCTCCGGTTTCCCTTCAGATCAGTCTCGTAGAAGCTTTCCGACTGGCACATCTCTGGAGAAAGCTGGTGACAAGAAACATACATGCTCCTGCAGGTCAAATTGGTCTACGAAACCGAGGGCACTGCAAACGATAACAACAGTTTCCACGACTCAGTTCGGTAAGGTTGCATTGCAGGTGCTCGACGGTGCTCCGCAGACTTGCTTACACTGCTGACTCAGCTGACTTTCCAACTAAGCTTCGTACACTATTTAGAACAACCCGGGCGAACTCCAATTGCCACGCCGCGATAACTCCTAGCTTTAATCATAATCAAACATACTCGAAAAGCGGCATGCAGCGCGTCCTTACATTGGTTCGATCGCAGAACTCGAAGCAGCGAGTTGGAACCACCTCCGACAAGTCTCAGGTTGTCGGGATGGTTTCGACAAATACCATGCCCATCTTGCCTATGATCGAGCCTCTGCAAGCTCCCTTTCCTTCCCTTGCTGAGGATCTGACCGCTCCACTCTTCGTCAGGTATGGCGTGGAAACCGCCAGGTGGTACCGGTCCGTCGTGGACCCTGCATGGGACGGTCTGCACAGCTGCTGTTCTAAGGCATGCCCAACTCCCAGCATTCTCATTTTATCCGAAAATCAGAAATGCAGGAAAACATGCGGCGAGACAAAAATCCGTATCAGCGAGATTCCGGTCTTAATGTGATCTTGGCACCCCTCAATGCCTGTGACTGTTGTCGTGGACGTTGTGGTCGTCGTTGTTGTGCTGGTGGACGTGGTCGTAACTGTGGATGTGCTTGTTGAAGTAGTGGTTGTCGTCTCCGTGACTGTGATGGTGGTGCTGCTTGTCATGGTAGTGGTCGTCAGGGTGGTGGTTGTCGTCGTCGATGTCGTTGACGTGGAAGCCTGCCGCAGGAAAGGACGGCAGCTCCGAGCGAAAGCCGACAAACCGCAGCCCTGACCCTGCCTTCCTGCCACAAGGCCAGTTGCAGCTGATGCACGCTTGTGTGTAATCCTGGGAATGCAACTAACCAGGAACACTGTGCTGGACCCGTTCAGCTAAGCTATGCAGGCTCATGCAGTCGCCCGACAGTACAAACCCTCTTCCGCACATAATCAAAGCCTTTACCCCATTAGGCGGAGTGGCACGTGTGCACAAAGAATAACAAGACACACAGCCTTAGGAGCCTGTGCCAGTTACATTTGTCAGCTCCTTGTCGGAACAAGGGGTATGCAGCTAATGCGAAACCGGCAAAGCAGCAAAACCGGAGGAGCTGCATGCAGTCCTCTGGAGTATGGGGTTTTAGAGATTTGCCAGAATGGCATACAAAGCGCGACACCGGGCTGACTGCTTGGCAACCGCGGCTCGGTGATACGATAACAAAATCCCCAACCGTGGGCAATCGTCTAGACAGGCAATGACTCCATGCCCACCGAAATATCCGGAATTGCGTCAAACCTGCAGCTTGCTGCTGGCTGTCCATGCTGCGGGCTTTAGCTGTGTTGCCTATCACAAGTAGCACACTGGCAGCCTGCCAAGCACTGCCAAGGCTCGACCATGCCTGGGCTGCAATTCAGAGACAGCGGTCTGCTGTATGATATGTCCGGACTACAACCGAGCACCCGCAAAGCCGAGGCCAAGACATTTCCATGGAGCTGCCCACACACAAAGCCTGCGAACCAACACGAGCAGCTCACTAGCAGCACTGGGTGGAGTCTGCCAGCCCAGCACTGCAGCACGGAAAGCCAGAGATGCCTTCGCTCGCAGGCACCCACGGTCTCGAAGAAATGTGTGGAGGCGCACTCCTCTTCGGGGAGCTCCTGAGTCCGAGATTTCCCTCGACTCGCAAGGCTCCGGCAAAGGTGCAATGCGACGCTTCTGAGGGCTGGATAGAAAACCCCTGTTTCCCCGAGTCTCACATGAGCTTAGGGCGGGCAGGGTGCCAAAGCCACACCTTTGCTGAAGAATGTGCCATACGCCTAGCGGCCGAGCAGGTCATATTCCAGTCTTTGGTGTCTGTCTTCAAGCAGAGGCTGCGGCAGAAGGGCGTCGCCTGCACTTTGGAGCGCGGGGGATTCTCACATGGCGGATGGTCATTACTTATAGCCTCGATAGCCGTGACCAGCTCCTACAGGAGTGCAAAGAAACGACAATATGAACAAACACATGCACGCACGCACATGCACACAAAAACTTGCGAGGCTGTCACGTCACTCGTCTGACTCTCAAGCATCGGGAGTGTTCACGACACCTTGGCATCAACCCTACCAACCGTAAACGCCGTGTAGAACTTGCCTTACAACCGAAACTTTCAAGGACGTCGTGTTAGCATTTCTCTCCTAATTCGATACCTCTACTTCTTGACTTCTTTCTCGTTGATGCGATTGACTGATACTCGGCTAGTGCCACAGCTTGCTACCAGCAACTTATTGGGGTACTTGCTTGCTCGGGCGCAAGACTACATCGGCCACGTGCCGACAGCGACCGGGTCGTTCAAGCATGCCGTCTCGGGCTGGGAACCGAACCTGCAATCCAGCCTTCAAGTTAAACCGAAACACGAACGTAAGACTCAACATCCATGTTTTCCGTGAAGAGCTGCTTGCTGAACTCGATGGGAACTGCTTCGGCAGTTCACTTGATGTGTTTGTGCAAGTTCAAAGGAGATGCTCTCGCCCTCACAAGGCGATGATCCCAGCACTTTCTCGACGAGACTTCGTGTCCGCACATTTCGTCGACAACACTGGTGCAATTACCTGGTTCACTCTTTGCGCGAATCTTCAACTCGCAAAGGCAAGCTGGTGGCACACTTACTGCCAGGCATTCGACTTCGACTTGAAGCCCGCCATGAAATCCTTTACCAGCTTCTGTGGATGCTTCCGGGAGCCCCTCTTAGACGTCTTCTGAGAGCACACGGCCGAGAGCTTCACGCCTTCAAAAACAAGTCCACAAATCTGCCGGCCCTCAGGGGCTGCAAAGCTGATTCTTTGTGGTTCTTTCCCCGGGCCTCCATAGCCCTTCGTGGACCAAACACGGCCTCTGCTTGTCCTGAACTCCAGCATCTGGGCCAGATACTCTCGCGTCCGAGTCTGGGTCACCTCCACTATGGCCTCGTCCTTTTTTAGACAAAACCATGTTTTGTCGCATCCCCCAGTGCTTTCACCATACACTTGGTGAATACCACTGTGCAGTTGAAACTCCACCCTGTCCACGTACTGGCCTGTGATTGCCTTGATTCTCTTGATGCAGCCCTTGGCCTTGGTTCCCTTGTTGGGGCCCGGCTTCGGTGAACTCGGCTCCTCGCTCTCCTCGGAGTCTTCATAGTCGTCCTCTTCCTCTGGCTCTCGCGGGGACAGGAACACCCATTCCGGAACCTTGGTCTTTCGGTGAGTCGGGGAAGTATCCGGGAGTACCAACTACTACGACTCAGGACACAAACTCCTCTTGCATGACACCTGGCGACCCAGCCCACGTCGCGCTGCCCCGAAACTTGACGACAAGGCAGCCATCCTCTGTCGCGAGTCGTCGAAGGTTCCAGAACATCCCCTGGCTGAACGCTCAGCAGCCCCGATCTTCGACGGGTGTCTCGCGACCGAGGTGAAAAAGCCTGCTTCACCACAAAGGCCTTGTCTTTCTCGGGAGTCGCACCTGAGCCAAGCTTGTTCCAGAAGCCATGTGAGCGACATTGCTTGTTTGGTGGTACGTAATTTGTAAAGTCGTGTCGTTTCTTGCGCGAACCCTACCTCGTTATACCTTGATCGCCAAAGAAGGCTCTCTTCTCTCCCTCTCTCCCTCTGTCTCGCCCGCTCTCTGCATGTAGATTTTGTATACAGTAGATAAAGCTGATATTACCGCTGCTGATGTTTTTTCAGCCGGTTGCGCAGTCTGCCTGTGCGTGTGACAGTGCTGAAAGTCGCCTCCGGCGAGTTACCGGCTGTAGAACACCAAAGACATAAGGCAGATCGTTCAGGGTTGGGAGATACATACATACATGATCATACATGCACACACAGACGCATGCATATGTGCTTACGTGTTTACATCCATACAGACGTAATTCCAGCAAGGCGGCCAGGTAGCAGGCGGTCAGCCAGGCATGCATGCATGCATGCAGATACGCACATACACGTATACATACCTACATACCTACCCACCTACATACCTACGAACATATGTGCATACTTGCAGGCATGTCTAGATGGGGATCATCATGTTTGCTTGTGATGATTGTGGCGATGGCGAATATGACGGTCATGGCGACGGTGATGATATCCGCCGAGGCCACAGGCCCAGGCGTCTTGGGGGTTAGCTCAGGTACTCCCTGCGGTCCAAATGTTTGGGGACACCCGTTTTTTGCGTTCGTTTGCCACCCCCTTGCCCGGCTTCCCTTCATTTTACCTGATTTGTCGGCCTCCCCCCCCCCTCCCACCCCTCCCCCGCCTCATTTTACCTGATTTGTCTGCCCGTAGCCTTCCCTCCCCCCTCCCCCCCCTCCCCTTCCCCCCCCCCCCCCCCCCCCCCCCCCCCCCCCCCCCCCCCCCCCCCCCCCCCCCGCCCCCCCCCCTCCCCCTGTGCCGATACACCCCCAAGGGATACTCCTTGTAAGGAGGTGTATGACCAGTTTATTCCCTAAGGATCAAAGGGCAGCGCCCTGCACACGGACAGTAGTTGTTTTGTCTTGCTACGCAAGGAGAGCTTGTCTTGTCTCAATATGGTAAAACCACTGTGAGCCAATGGGCAGCGGAATGTATATGTATGAGCATGCAGCCATTGCTGTAGGTACCTGTTAGAGCTACCCCTTTAGAGGTTTATGGTTTCAAACAGACACTAATTTTCTTTTACCGAAAGCATGGCCGCACATTCACACATATACTGTTATGCCCACTGTCACAGTTGCGGAGTTTTGGACTCATTATAAAAACAGCATATTAGGTATGCTAGGTATAGCACTGAAGTACACTGCTGAGGACACTCCACTCATTTTGCACACACACTCATGCATATTTGTCAGAGAGATCATCTGTACAAGATCAGGTCTGGTGATGTTCTACTACCGAATTATGCAGCCCTTCATTGTGCTCTTGTTAGAGCCTTGTGATTCACTGTTGTGAAACTCTGAGAATTTTCTTATCTCAGATTCGGATCCAGGTTTGGATCATAGGCTCGAGCATAGACGTTCGGATGTGGCTCATCCGGGTCTGAGTGGTCTTCTTCGGAACTTGAAAAGATTCCGAGTAATCTGTTCTCAGCCCTGGTGAAGGCGGCGTCTGCAGTATCATATCCATGGTTGGATGTTGTCGCCTTTGGCTCGGCCTTTGGAGCAGCTTGTGAGCTGACTGGAGTTGCCTTGGCTTTTGCCGGTTGCGGCTGCTTAGCCTTTGCCCGTTCAGCCCTTCTTCTTTCAAGCTGTCCGTCTGAGGACGCCCATGATCTTTCACTTTCATCTCCTGAAGGAGATAAGGCGTGGGCATAAAGGCTATTCCAGTACTGTGGTGCAGAAGGAGTTAGGACTTCTTCATTGTCAGATTCTGATTGGTCTTCCTCAGAGCTTTGGTCGTCAAAAAGTGTCTCGAGGACATTTTTGAGATTGTTATTTCTTCGCTCTATCTCTAGTGAGGAATGGACCAGTTGGTTGAAGACTGTCCTTGAGTCCTTCAGTGCTGTGAGAAGGATTTCCACTCTGGATAGAGTATCTTGGATGGTGTCAAGATGTTCCTTTCTTTCCTCCTTGTCTCTCTGGATAGAGCCTCGCAATGCTTGTGCGATTCTGAGGAGGTCTGTGTATTTCGCAAGAGGCATAGTTACCGTTTGATTGTCATGTATGACAGTTGTTTCGTCGCCGCTTAAGTTCCTGAATAGGACTTCCACGATTGGTAGGAACTCCGTGCTCCACGGTTCCTCTTCATCATATGTTTCTACGTGCTGTAGCACGCGTTGTGTAAACTGGCCGGCTGCTTCTACCGTTGCATCGATAGAGCTGACGTGTCTTGATACTATGTTTCGGCACGTAACGTTAATTGCCTGGCCTTGATTGGCTTCGTCAAGTGCAGCGTCTGCATAAGTGCAGAGTCCACTGTTGTGGGCTTCTCTGGCTGCCTTTCGTTGAATACGCCGATTTTGACCTCCTCTTCTGGTAGGACCTTTTGGTCTCGGAGGAGCAGAAGGTACTGTTCCTTTCGCCTTTGGCGGAGGACTCTTAGGTGGAGGTGATATGTTTGCCTTGTTAGGCCCTGGTGGCATTGCCTTGGGCGCTGATGACGATGCGGCACTTGAGAGTGCAGATGTACCTCTGGCTTTTGCCGAGGATCCCTTGGGGATCGATGTATAGGTAATCTGCATGGCTTCCTCGGCCATTTGTGCATGCAAGGCATCCTGGAATAATTGTGTCATGTGAGGAGTGTTACTTGCATCATCGTAGGTCTGGAAGCGCTCAATGTCTCTTTCGGTGCCACGTGGTCGTGTATCACCTCTTTGGAAAGGATCATTCCTGCGAATCTCCGCAACTTGTACTGCATGAAGGCAGTTTTTGCACAGCACCTTCCTGCAAACATCTCTTGCTTGCTTAAGCTGGTAACAGCTGTCTGAGAGATGGTAGACTTCGCTTCGGGAAGTATGCCAATAGGTCGCAGATCAGTTGTTTCTCCGGAATTGACCCTGTTGGGTCCTAAAGGTTCACGCGTCTGCGGTTCATCCTCGGGTTCGAGGAATGGAACTCTTTGGTTCGCTGCTGCTCTTGATTTTGGTTGTTGGCGCTCCATACATCTGATAGGAGGCCTGGTAATCTGCTTCCACATCCAGTGTAAGCCCATTAGCAGCAGGAACACATTCCACGTGATGCTGAAGACGGAGAAGTCTTGCTCACTGGTTAGTGAGTCTGGAAGTGAAGTTTCATCAGTCTTGGTAGACTCTGCGTTTGCTCCACCTCGGTTGCGGTGTCCGAACCAGCCCGACAACCCCGCTGCTGTTGCAGCTGTTCTGAGTGCCTTGCCGCTCGGAGCAGACGGTGGACGCGATGCCTTCCTTCTTCTTCTCCGGCTGGAGGATTCGTCCTCTTGTTCCTCTTCATCTCTCTGAGCAGACATCAAGTTTGATGTTTCTCTTTCGTGTTCTTCGATGTCACTTTTTGTTGGTGACGGTTCTTCTTCTAGTCCATCCAGCTCTTCCAAAGACATGTTGAGCTTGTCAACAATATTGGTTCTTTGAGGCCTGGACCTTGATCTTGGTAGATCTTGTTGTGAAGAGGACGATGATTCCTGGTTCCTTCTTGGAGGAGGACCTTCAGGCTCGCTGGGACGTTCAGGCTGTGGCCACTCCCAGAATCTTCCATATCTGTGATGGCTACCTGATGGTTGCGATTTGTCGTACCAGCTGTTGCCGGATGAGTAAACGAATGAATCGTTGTAACCCCAGTATTCAGCATTACGCTGCTTGTAAGCCTTTCGCTTGTCAGCGATCTTTTGGACCTGGGCATCTGACCGGTTGTGTTTCCCTTTTGTAAGGATTGGTTGTATCGTGAAGCCCAAAGGGCTGTGCCAATCTTTGTCAGAGGGACTCAACCATAGGTCAAGGTTAGAAAAAGTTGAATAGTACTGCTTGACTGAGACAAACAGACGGATATCAATATCCCTGTTGTTGTTCGTGTCCTGCCACATATCTGAGATTCGTTCCCAGTATGTTCTTTCGGCGGCAGGTGTGACCTCTCTTGGACTAGGTGACGCCGTGTGCGGCGTTTTACTCCAGTCAAGGATATAACTGTTGATACAGTCAAGGTCAGCAACTTTCTTCGCCGGGTCCGCCGGTAGACGATCTGCACGTGCCAGTCTGTGCTGGTCGGAGTTGTTCAAGCAAAGATGTCGCACTTGTGAGTGCCTTCCTGCTATTCTGTTGAATGCTGCAAGTTTCTTCTCCAGGTATAGAGAAAACAAACTGTTTCGCGGGTGAACGTCTCCACCTTTTAAGGTGAGCCTCGACGCAATATTATTGAGATCTCCCGCTATTACATCCGGTTTAAAAGGGAGAATCTCGTTGAGGAACGCGTTCACCAGTTCGCGTCTCTGTTCTTCCTTATGAGTCATGAACGAGTTGAAATGGACGATCGCGATGGTGATGACCTTGTAAGGCCCTTTTGTACACCACATCTCGTCAAGATCGTTAGATGCTTCTTGTGAGAAGATCTCTGCGTATGTCTCAAAGTCTTCCTCTGGTGGCTCATCACCCTCGACATGGCCGTTCCATTCACAGAGAATCGGCGAGGGGTCGAGGTTCGACAGTGTCAGGCACGCCTCTGGTGAGAGGTAAGAGCCATCAGTGGGTCCATCCTTGTCAGGATTTTTGCCCTTGAGTGGGTCATATCCGATAATCTGCATGAACTCGTCTCTCGTCATCCTTTGGCCAGAATTTGGGTGGACCCATTCTTTTGCCTCTGGTATGGTACTGTGGTACCCAAATGTGAGGCGGCACACCGCACCGTGGCATGCCCACAGTCGCTTCTTGGGACCACCATTCTTAGGCTTCATGGTTCGATGACGGTAGAAGTGGTGGACGAGAGCGATGTCTGTTGTTGGGTCACCCTTGACTCCAATGTACATTGAGGGTGCCTCAGGCTCCTTGGGAGGAGAGTGGATTAGCATCCCCCTGTATTCGTGTTT